GTCAAAAATGGTAGACTCCTGACTGGCATAGAGCAGGAGTTGACTTGCCGTTTTCTCGAGTATCCTCAGGATCAATCTTTCAAGATGCTCTTCCGAGTCAACCGGGCGAGTGTAATGTTCTTTTGTTCGTGTCAGTGAGAGACCTGTTTGAACCTGATTCGTCATTCCAAGGTGCGATCGGTTGAACCCGTCCACGTGTTAGTAGTATGAAAGTGGTACGCATTGTCGCTTTCAGGAAATAGCCATGTTTTGTCACAGTAGTAACATTTCTCATTTAACCTTTGCACCATGGACATCACAAATATTTTTTTCTCTCGAGGCATATTACATGAATGTGGGGCCCGAAAACAGTTTCGACTGTTCGTTCGTGATTTCATGTGTCGCAGCAAAGAGGTCGATCAGGATTCCCATATGATGCGATAAGCGCGCCCGAGAACAGTTCAGACTCGCGCATCGGTTTGGAATAATTTACAGCCAAGGAATATAACATTGTGTACGTCCGTGTGGGGGGGGGGGGGGGGGGGCAGCCAACAGAGCCGTATGACCTCACCTGTGACGTCACAGCATCCTCATCACCACCCGTCCACACACCTGGAAGAAGTTGGACTGTCCCAGAAGCTGCCGTGCGCTCTCCCAGCCCAGAGGACGGTTGAAGAGCAGACAGACGGCGTCCGTGACCCGCACCACCCCATCGGGGGGGTCTCTGTAGTGACGCACCTCCTCCAGGTCCTCCTCGTTCAGACAACTGAGGGTCTTGAGGGCCGCCAGGAACACAGGTCCTGTCTGGACACAAGAAGACGTGAGACACGATGAGGCGCACGTTGTGTTTACTCATTTGGTTTTGGATTAATCATCAGTTGACCGGTTTCTCAGCGCGACGGAGCTGCTCCTCCAGGTGACGCAGCGTGTTCTCCTCGGTTACACGCGCCTCCTGGGCCTCCTGGAGCAGCCTCCTCTGAAGGTGTGCCGCCCGGAGGAGGTCGCTCTGCCGCTGAAGGACACAGAAGATCTAGTCCAGTGTTTAAAAGTGCACAGAAGGAAGACGCCTGCGCCGTAGAAGCTGCGCTTACCTGCAGCGTGTCAGCAGCCTTCTCCTGCAGCCTCCTGAGGATCTGTCTGCGCTGCAGGGCTGTGCTGCTCAGGGCCTCCATGCGGGACACAACCGCTGCCACTCTGAGAGAAACACAGCCGTCACATGGCCGTCACACCACTGTGTGTTTCCCGTGGGTTGACTTCCTCGGGTGGAGTAATCAAGAGGTGGAGTACCTGTCGGCTTGGCTCCGCTGCTGATTGTGCAGATGGTGGACGAGGTAACCAAAGTTGCCAATGAACTCGGTGTAAGTCTGAGGGCCGAAGGTCCGAGCCGCGAGGAGCGCGGCGGCGTACCGGCATGCAGACCGGTGGATCGATGCCATGGCCACAGGCAGGCCGGCCGCTGGGCCTCCGCCCTCCTCCGCTGGAGGGGGACAGAGAGGACACGGCTCAGTGCGCCCAAACAACTGGGACCAACAACTGGAGGACGTCGGGGTGTCACTCACTTCTGAGCCAGTGAGTAGCAACTTCCACTAAGGACTGGGCGGACCACGGCGGGTAAACCTCCACACAGCTGCAGAGGCTCAGGGCCTTGGCGAGCTGAGGAGAAAGACCTCCATGTGATTATTATGGTCTATTAGAGCCCTGATCTATCTCTTTGGGGCGGGGCTACACGCTGATTGACATAATTGAAAGAAGACTCATATTTACATCTCGTCCATAGAGTCCACTGTTGGCCGGTGTCGTGGTGAAAGGAAGCAACAGGAACACGTGCACGTTTCTGTGAGCTCGGCTCAAGAACCTTTAAAACAATGTTTACAATCATTTACTTTCTTTCCTTGTTAAATGTTACAGCCACTGGCGTGAATCCTGTTACATCCCAGCAGCAGCACAACATGTACAACATACATGCTCACAAGCACATCAAGTAACATTTAAGTAAAAACATCCTGACAGCGGAACGTGACACAGATGTTCTGAATGAACCCGGTTCCTCGACCTCCTCTCAGTGCTCGAATGCATCGGACAGACTGCAGACAGCCAATCAGAGTGGAGGAGGCTCCGACCAATGAAGCTGTGATCAAACTGTCCAGCAGCGCTGAGCAATTACGAACTACAGTTCTGTAACTCTAAAAGTGTGTTTCTGAGATCCAGAACTGAACCCTCATCACTGATGAATAAGTGAGACAAAGGAACCCGATTGCTTCAGAGTGGAACGTACGCTACGAGCTGTGAATGAACATCTAAACAGTGTGTGGATCCATTGTCCTCTTACGTCTCCAGCATCCAGCTGTCCATCAGGTGCCTCCTGGAGGTCTTGGCAGCTGTCACTCTGGAAACCAGGTCTGTCAGCGGCTCGTCCGTGTAGAGCGCCGGGTACGCGGGCTGAGCCATCGCCACCAGCAGCGCCGCTCTGACCGAGCGGCTGACTGCCTCGTGGACCAGCACGACCACGCGGACCCCGTCCTCTCTGGTTCGATTCCCGGCTTCTTTCAGGATGTCGCGCAGCTCGCGCTCGTTACCGGGATGCACCTCCATCAACCGGCAGCCCGTCAGCTGGGCGGCTAAACGCACCGTGGTTTTACGGCCCGTGTCTCGGTCCGAGGCAATCAGCGCTCCGTGACCTCCGGGTATGAGCAGCGCCCTGAGGACGTGCAGCAGCTGGCGGAGCCTCTGTTTGTGGACCATGCATCTGTGGGTAATGCTGTGGTCTTCATCGCCTTTCTGTCCTTTGTCTTCCTCTTTGCTGTCAACGAGAGCTCGCAGATCCTGCAGCAGAACATCCAGGTCTCTGCACCGATAGGACGCGCCGTGCTTAAAACCTGCTAGCGGATCCATTGAGGCCTCGGAGAGCCGCGGGGCGTATACGAGCTCAGCTGTTGCGCCCCCGGCGTGCTGGTCAGCGTGGGGAGGCTTGGGACCAGCCTCCGAGCTGATGTTTCCATGTGCAGGTTCTGTGTGGCCAGCTGCTTCTGGCTCTTGTGGGTTTTGTGGATCTAACCTCCAACCTGCTGCCTCAGTTGACCCGAAGTGAGCTGTTGCCGTCTCGGCTACGAGGGACCACAGCGTCTTTCTTTCGTCCTCTGAGCGTAACCGGTCACTGAACGTACGCGTGCACTCGTGCATCCAGAGACGTGCTACGTTCAGGACGGAAGCAGGAGGACGCTCCTGGTCCTGCAGGGTCCCCGTGTTTGGGATGTTTGGCTGCCACAGGCACATGCCCCTAAACACCTTCTGAAGGTCATGATGGGAGAATACGAGATGGGGCGCCGGCACAGCGGGCAGGAAGCGCTCGCGTACGGCTGCGTAGAGACGCTCGGTGGCAGTGATGATGCAGCGCGCCATCTCCTCGCCGCTGTGCTGGAGCGCCGTGTCTTTGAGCCACATCTCTAGCGGAGGAGAATGGATGGACAGTAAAAGGTCCAGGGACAGGTGGGGCAGCACCAAGGTGGAGAAGAGGCGCGAGAGCCTGGGGGACATTGCGTTTCCGTGGCGATTGGCGGATCCGGAGGCACAGCAGGTGGCCATGTAGCCGACGGTTCCGGCGGCCAACGAGCGGAAGTGGTAACCGTCAAATGTTAAAACGTGTCCCGTTGAAATACTCTGTCGTAGCGTCTCCAGAGCTGTTGACACCTTCCCGAAGACATCTGTCAGCGGGAATGATACATTAGACACGTAAAGCTTCTCGCGGTTCCAAACCGCGTCGTGCTACTCACCACAGGGCGCCTCGTGGACATCGTCCACAAAGAGAAGGAGTCCCGGCCGCCTGGTCGCGGAGCCTCGAGGGACCTCGCGGGTCTCCTTGCGGCGGACGCTGCTCAGGACGGTGCGCAGGTCTCCGGCGCTCAGCAGCGAGCCGGCCGGTAGGTGAACATGCGGCTTGTCAAAGCCCAGCAAGGCTTTGCACAGAGCGCTTTTCCCGGAAGCCGGCTCCCCGACGAGCATCACCGGCTGGTTGGCCTCCACCAGGAGCTTCAGCAGACGGGTGTATTCGCTGAACTACAACAACGGAGTGAAGACACTTCAGTTGAAATGTTGAAATGCAGCGAGGACCTCGGGTGTCCTTGACTAACCTTGGGAGTGACGCAGTTTGTCGGCGGTGTGTTTCTGCTGTCGATGTTTAAAAAGTGACCAAACACACTCTCTTCATCGGGAACCACAATTTTGTACCGGCAGGAAAACAGAACCTGACGTGCAAGCGAATCGAACTGTGGTCGGAGGCTGAAAGTGAAAACATGAAACACAAGAAGGCCGATATTCATTCAGGGAGCAATAACTGCGTAAAGGTGTCGCATGGAGACAGAGAGGATCTTACCGAGGATGCAGATTCCCACTAAATCCCCAGATGTAAGCCGCCAGAAAAAGGTTCCTGGCCATCAAGTGTTGACTACTGTGGGCGTCCAATGTTCTGCCGCTGTGTTGAAGGGCATCTGGGGGAGAATGAATAGTGTCGAACAAATATATTGAGTCGTATATTGAACAGCAGCAGGAATTTGTCTGTATGTTGAATGCAAGACATGATCCTGCATCCTGCTTCTACCTTTTGGGTCCATTCGTGGCGTCTGCTCATCTTTCTCCACTTCTGTCCAAAACTGCTGTAGGAGAGCTCGTAGGATCCGAACAAATGACGTGACTTCTTGTAGTCCGTACGTGGCGCTTTCCACAGATTCTCCCTCGCTGTTCCCCGCAGAGTTCAGATCTCTTTGCCTGAGCAAGTCGAGTGTGCTGGAGAAAAGATCTTCAGCCAGAAGACTCCACACTTTCAAGGTTCCTTGATCCACTTTGTCTTCAAACACGAGAGCTTCCATCTCACTCTTCCACACGGCCCTCCACAGGTCCGTAGCCGCGAGGTAAACCAGGCTGCAGCGGGTCAGTGCAGAGGGGCCGGCCTCACGTAGGTCAGTGACCTCCACGAGTAGCTTCAGGTGCGATCGGGACGGCAGTTTTTCACCCGACGCCAAGCTGAGAAACGGCCACTCGGGACTGCACATGGCGGTCAAGTAGTCCAACCAGCCGGGCCGCCCCGCGGGATTCCCATCCATCACCAGCCACCTGCCGGCGGTGTGAGCGCTCTGCTTTTGCTCGCCGGTCAGAGAGCTCGTGGGTTCGCTCTGACCCGAATCCCTCAGTGCCTTTGCAATGGCTCCGTCTCGCCACCCCCTCTCCTCGCAGCAGTAGCCGAATAGCTCTTGGTGGGACATGGCGTGAGGAAATAAGACCGTAGTTTGGACAGAGCTCCAGGTGGAAGCAGGTATCTGTCCATCTGCCTGTCGGGCTCGTCCTCCGGTGAGATTGTCCCTTTGAAACAGATGTTCTTCTGCCTGGGCAGCCAGATGATTGAGGGCTCCGGCTACAACGCGGTAACAGGTCGTCTTTCCGCTACCCGAAGGGCCGAGAAGCATCACTGCCCGAGAGGACCTCACGGTCTGATACAGTGTGACAGCATTGCGAATGATTTCAGCATCAGCTTGAAGCCGTTTCCTTTGTAATTCTTCTGTAACTGCATCTTTCAGTTGGATCTTTTCTTCCTCATCAAAGTACTGCTGGAAAAGAGGAAACTGGCACGCTATCGGGAACGTCTCCTTGCAAACGACGTAGAACCGTGAGGCGTTCTTCTGATCATAAAGAACCGGCAGGTAGACGGAGAGAATGGCTTTCACAAGCGCTGTCTCCTCCATTAATCCTTGAACAATCGACAAGTGAGAACGGCGACACCTGGAAGGCTGTTCGGTTTCTTTTCCACCTTTTTCAGCACTTAAACCTCGTGAAGGACCAAGATGGCTTTGTTCTGCGGCCGCTCCTTTAGCCTCCACTGAGATTTCCCGTTCCCGTACACTTTGTTGTAAGTGGATTTCGGAGGCGGAGATGATCTTTTGCAAGACTACAAGGTAGGAGCTCTGGTGGTCGGAGAGGAAATCGGGCAGACAGGATGAATCGCGGGCCAGTTCCACCAGGGCCACCAGGCGTCGACTCAAAGGCGCCGCCTGTGAGAAGCCAGTGGACGTCAGCATTACTTCCGTGATGATTTTGTAATCCGGATGGGTTAACGCAACGGGTCTGGTGGCACGTCGCAGACTCTCCGGAACCTGGAACGCATCCCCCTGCGATGACGTGAGAACGCATCCGTAGCCTCGTCTTGCAGACACGCTTTTACCTGCGAGTGTCATCCGGAGGTCTGGACCAAAAAGGGTTGTGAGCCCGTCGCTTGGCTCCGGATTCACTGCCTGATTCTCATCTCTCGCTAATTGAGAAAAGGACTGTCTGATGTCTATTAAACGCTGCCCCAGCAGGGTCAGGACCTCTTGTGTCAGAAGGTGCACAGATTGCAGCAGAAGCCACGCCCCGGTCTGCAGGGCGCCCCGCAGCATCCGCTCAACCACACCAGCGCTCGTGCTCGGACAACATTGCACGCCGACGACCTGACGACCCAAAGCTCTTCCCAACTGGACCGTGGTCGTTTCCTTTCCGGCCATGTTGGGTCCCCTCACAAACCCACACCTGTAGCTCGTCACAGCCAGGAGGATCCCCAGTGTGGCCCGATCTGTGGACGGAGTGTGCACCATCACCCAATCTTCTGGACCAGAATACTCGTAGTCATATTGGAGTCGATGGCCTAACACATCGGCGTAACACGTTGGATCATCACTGCCCTCCTTCACGTGGTACTTGATCCAACTCAGCCACTCGAAGGACGACTCTGGCGCACATTGCACCTCCATGAGGCGAGACAGCTGCTGCGCGTGCTTCATCGTTAGCTGCACCAGAGCCCGAACACACATCATTGTGTACCTGGAAACCAGAGGTTCCCGTTGGGCTCCTGTCAATCCGTCCCTCATGAAACAAGCCAGGGCTCTCAGCTTTGCAGAGTTGTATGCCTTCACGTTGCTCAACCCCACTGGGTTTGCCTCTTGGAGAGCTCGTAGGACCGACCCGGACCACACAGCCTCCTCGGCCACCAGCAGACACTGAAGAGGATGTCCAGACAGCAGATCCAGAAGAGGGAGCAGAATTTTCCTCTTTCCAGCAGCGTTGGACAGGATGTCTCCGACCTCCTGACTGAATGACAAATCTTGGCTGGACGGTTCGAGCTGGTTTCGCGCAGCAGCACATTGTTGAATGCGGTGCACCATGGTCGACTTCAGCTGCTTCTCAAAGGCCTCCAGCCAAACCAAGGCGTTGCAATTTGGTTCCAAAGGAGACGTAAAGGCGACGTGCTCCTGGAGGCTGCCGAAGAAGCCCAGGACGTTCAACTGTCTGTAGCTTTGAGATGCAGCCCCACCGCCTTCTACATAAGACAGCGGTTCACGGTCCACCTCGAGCCGACGTACGCCGGTAAAACATCGCCGCACGAAGCGCTGCAGGGTGAAAGGTGTTGGGCGGAGGGAGAGAAGTTGGATCACTTCCCTGTCACTTAAAAACCACAGTCTTGGAAACTGGTCACAGAGGGTCTCCAGGAGGTCCACCATTTGGTTGGAAATGACCTCCATCGTGGAAAGACCGTCCATGAGAATCTGGCGAAGGCTCTCCCCGTGGAATCTGTCATTCGTCTTCTTCGAATGAACAAAATTCAACACGCGAGGGTCACTTGACACAGTGAGCATCATCTCCCTAAATGTCTCATCCACTGGTTGGAATTGCTCCAGCTGTAAATGAAAGGAGAATCAAGATGAACAAATCAATCTACGTGTATCTGATGCATGTATCCAAGAGGTCAACTTTCATAGCGTTGCATGTATCATTTACAGCGAGGGGACATACCAGGTCCACTCTCTGACCACTCCGGCATGTGTCATGTAACGTCTTGGTCAGGAAGGTCCACAGTTGCTGGTATCTTTCAAGTGAACAAAGTTGCCTCCCTGAGATGGAAAGAAAAGAAAGACAAACCATCTTCATTGTTATGTATTTAAAAAAACATCTAAATGCCCCTTTTTTATATCCACCCTACCGAGATCTTTCAGTGATTGCATCCAATGTTCCATCTGCGGCCTGAAATCATCGCTGTGTGGAGACGTCCTCATGGCGGACAGAGCCATCAGTTCACTCTCTATCTCAGCCAGGTGTATTTCCAGACCTGAGTGAGAACACCAGACTGAATAGAAGACGTGGACGCGGCCATTGGGAAGTCTCGTTGGTTTGTGGGCCGATGTTACGAGACCTTGAGTTCAGAGATTTTGTCATCGTTGTTTTTTTTATCAAGCAGTGACCATATATGGACTGACGACGTAGCGACGCGTACACAACTCCGGGAGACACTGTCAATCAGCTAGTAGCCCCGCCCCACAGCACCCCCTGCCGGGTGGTCTCACCGATGACGATGAATCGCTGTTGGGCGCTGCCCTCCGAAGGCTTCTCCGTCTCTGTTAATCCACGTTGGGGCTCTGCAGGCTGCCAAACTTCCAGCTGGAAGAGTCTGGCTCTCCACCCTCGTTGAAGCTTCTGGAAGGTCTGCTCCATGCCGCACTCCACCTGTGCATCCCTGCACACCTGCCACGTGGATCACGGAACAGGTGTTGGCGGCATATCAGTCGTTTTCACCAGCAGATGTACATTATCGTCCATCCTGCTCTCACCTTGCTAACTAGTGTCTGGTCCAGCTGTTCAGACGTCAGTTGAGAGACGGTCACCTTCTTCTCTGGGACAAACGGTCGGCCCATGTCTGCCAGACGGAATGCATTTGGATTATTTTAGCCTTGGTTGCGTCCAAACGAAGCGCGTGAAGAATGCAGCTTTTGAGGACCTTCAGAACCAGAGGTTTCCTCCTTGTTATGTTAGACTAAGTGCATTACTTAGCGTAGGTATCACTACAAAGGGTAAAGGAGTCTGACCTTTAAAAATGGCGTTCCAGTGTCTGTGTTTGAGCGCAGGGCTCTGCAGCTCGGCCAAGACAGCAAGCTGACAGCTTAGCTTTTCCAGGGTCCCTAAAGTCTCCTGCAGCACTGCATCATGGGTAGGCACGATACTTGTTAGAGAAAGAGCTCGCTCCTTCCACTTGGAAATATTTCCTTGAGCTTGTGACACCACAACCTGAACAATGAAAAGAAGAGATTTGTGGCTCTCACTCACGTTGACCTCTAGCTTAGCATATCGGTTAGCTTACTTCATCAAGTAAACTGCAAACAGATCATTTGTCACCATGCGTTCATATAAATATACATAAATACTCGCCACCATGTCAGAGACATCTCGACGCGTTACCTCACTGAGCAGCAGCAGTTTCCATTCGTCCATCCACGTCGAGAGCTCAGCTCTCAGCTCCCACAACTCAAAACGGGCTTTGACCTTCTGACCTTCTGTTGTCCAGCTGGTCAGATCCATCGGCCGTCCTGAAGGGAGCCAACGAAGTACACCGCTCTGAGATTGGGATTCTGGTGAATACTTCAAACCTTCCCTTCCGTAGTTACAATGAGACCTTCAAAGTAAAAGAAACGTCCTCTTGCTGAGCGCTACGGGTCTCACCGCTGAGGTTTTGGCTGTCGCCGCTAAGCTGCTCCAGCTTTGCGATGAGGTCGTGCACGCGCGTCCACGCGCCGCTCAGCTCGGACGCCATGTCTTTGGCGTCCTGCGTCGGGTCGACGAAGGGTCCCGACGTGGCTTCAGAGACCAGGCCTTTAAGGTCGCGGGTCAGATATGAGAACACCGCGTCCACGGCGCTGACCATCGAGGGAAGGCGGCTGCACACGACGCCTCCTGCTCGCTCCAGCAGAGGCAGGAAGTCGGCCCACGTGGCCAGCAGCTGAACGCAGAGAAAAGGGGTCAGGCCGGCGGCAGGAGGACAGCTGCGACCAGGTGGTTACGCCCGCACACCTTTCCTTGCAACGCCACCTCCTCTTCAGTCATCTTCCTCCAGTTCATGCCAACGGTGTCCTGGAGGGAGCGGATGTAGTCCAAACGCTTCCTCGCCTCGCTCGCCGATTCCTCATTGTCCCTCACCTGAAGGGATGAGACAGATTCACAGGACGTACCGCTGAGGGGTCGGACATCATTTTGGTAGAATCTGTTAGAGCTGCAGAGTAATCAAACTGGAGTTTGGGAGTGGATGAAGCCGACCGGCAGCAGGAAAGATCTCCATAGCTCACACCACACGGGTGGAGTCCGGTGCCCTTGGAACGTTTTTAACAACTCATCTCCATCAAAGACAAAATATTGGGATCTAAATTCAGAACGATCTGACAAGACTGATGGATGAATAATGTTAAAGGGACGTGAAGACTCACGGAGAACGTGGGGGCAGTAGACGTTTTATATCTTTAGTCTCTTCTTAATTCCTCACCAAGTCCCCGAGGAGGTTCTTTACCGTGAGCGCGTACGTTGACAGGTGGAGCAGGTCTCGGGGGTCCGTCTTCAGTTTGGCAGCAGCCTCCTCCAGGTCGGCCGTCAGGCTCTCAGAGAGCAGCTTTACCTGCTGCGAGAGCAGCTCCATCACCTCCTCCTCCACCCGCCTGAGCTGCAGCCCTTTTCAAAGCAAACAGAGAACCAGAACTTTCAGCTAGAAGAGGCAAAGATCTCTCGAGTCACTAGCGGCCCTCACACCACTATTTAACAACACTTTAAGGAAAAGCTTTTGGATGAAGACAGGAAACAGTATTTTCCAGTGAGTCCTTCAGAATGAAACATACCGAGCCTTTCCTTCATGCCGGTGCACTGGATGATGAACAGCTGGTTGCCGGTGGAGATGGACGAGGGAACAGCGAGGATTCTCTCGGCCCAGTGAGCCACCTTCTCTAGGAGCTGCCGGTACAGTGCAGACGGCCGACCCTTCAGGGACTCCAGGGAGGCTGGACTCCACTGGCTGAGGAACGCATGGACCTCCGTTAGCCACGCGTAGCTCTCACACAGCCGCAGGACGTCCCGCTCAGCTTCCTGTCCAGAGATCAGGGAGGCGTGACTACTGATCATGCATCTTCCGTCCGCTAGTTTTAATCACAGAGGTGGATTTAAAGGTCTCGCCTGCATGACGTCGACCTGCTCTTTCTCCACCCGTTCTGTGACGTCGCCGGTGCTGATGTGCCACTGCAGCTGGGCTTTGAGGAGGCGCTGGTAGCAGCAGTGCATGCTTCTGCCCCGCGCCGATAGCGGGGAGGCCTCAGGAGGCTGCAGGCGGCGAGCCGACAAGCCTCTGAGCCTGCAGCAGAACATCCTGCGACCAGTCGCTCCATCGCTGCTCTCCTCTGAAGAATGAGAACACATCAGAGCAACGAGCACAGGACGGGTCAACAGCGTCACATCACACCGCCTCTCAACTGAAGACGGCCGTACCCGGGGACGGACCGTGTTCCAGACGACTGAGGTCAGAGGTTAAAACCTGAGAGGAATCAGAGGTGAAGAAGCTGTCGCTGGTCTCCAGGAAGAATCCACATGTTTCACACATCTACCAGACGATGAAGGAGCAGAAAGCAGAGGCCATCTTTATTCTTTAAAAAGATTTGTAAATCATTTGAAATGTGTTGAGGTCAAAGGAAAAGGCCGGTGCAGGAGGAGAAGTTCATTACCTGGATTAACGAGTGGCCCGCAGTGAGGAGCGCTCGGCTCACGGCTTTCTGGAACCGCTGGATGGGGGGCTCCACCCTCAGACCCCCGCTGACCCCCACGCACAGCTGGGTGAGGAAGAGCCATCCCTGCTGAGGCTTCTGCCTCTGCTCAAACAGAACACAGCAACGACCGCCGCGTCACCGTCACCGTTCAAAGCTCCGTCGTCCTCTGACAACACTGCGTCCACAGAACCAGAGTGGGAGGAGCCAACGAGGGCTCCCCTGTCACCTTCACGACGCCCCTGAGGAAGGACCGGACGTCTCTCTGGAAGACGCTGACGAGGCTCTGCAGCGTCATGTGGTCCACCAGCGCGGACCAGCGGCCCAGTTTGTGCAGGACGCCCCGGGACCGGGCCGCCCGTCTCTGCAGCTCCCGCCGGTGAGCCAGCTGCAGGTGGATGGCGTCCTCGCAGTCCCCGGGAGTCCTTCTAGCCGATTCCAGGTGTCGCTGCAGCTCCTGGTGAGCCAGGTAGCTGTCCTCCTTCACCTGGGGGGGCCGAATAACCCAACGTGAGCTCTAAGGGACTCAGATCGGAGTGAGATATGAAGTAACCAGAAATCGTGCTCAAACTCTACAGTAAAGTAGGAGCTTTGAGCTATTGTGAAGTTATTACCGTGTTTAGGGTGGCAGCGCGATGACGCGAGAACTTCTCCAGCCTCTGCAGGAGCTCCTGCTTCGTGGTCCTCAGTAGGTTCGTGAACTCCAGCAGTGTGAAGGTGTGAGACCCGTCCTGGGGCAGCGGACTAGTCTCTCTCAATTCTTCCATTACCCTGTAGGAGGTTGAGAATCAGCGATATCAGGGTTTCGTCCCACAGCCACAAGCCCAGGGCCACATCTGGTGCACAGGAACCAAGGGCTCGAGGCTGGAGACTCGCCTGGTGAACTCGAGGAGAGCCTTTCTGAACCGAGGAACGGACGTGAGCAGCTGATCTTGCAGAACCCGACACCTGCGCTGGAAAACAATCTTGCGCACATTCCTTCGCCACCTGGCATGAAAATACACAATCAAACCGCACGGATTAGAGAGAGAATGAAGACACGACCAGCAACAGATATTCTGCTGATCGAGGGTCTGAGCATTTAGGAGGCGTCATCTTTGGGAAGCAGACTTGTCACAGACCAAGCGGCTGGAAAAGGATCCACAGATTAGTGCTGTTAGTTGCTGGTAGCAGCTGAACAGCTTCCATGAGCTCACCTGGTGAACGCTCTCTGCCGTCTGAAGTCCCTGAAGAAGGGAATTCCCTGCAGCGCTTTCCACGCCAGCGCCTCTCGGTACCACTGGGCCAGACTGACGAGTCCCCCGGGACGCCCCCTTGTGACGTGGAGCACCGCACCAGGGGAGAAAACGTAGTACTCGGAGCCCGCCTGGCTGGACCGGACGGCTCGCAGGTCGTAGGGTCTGAGGACAGAGAGGACGCGTCACTGTGGCGTCGCGGTCTACCTGCGGCTGCTAGACGGTCTTACCACAGCGCACCTGGGACACTCCCCCTCCACTTCTCTCAGGTAATAAAGATCAAACTCTAACGAGTCTTTGCGAGCGAGGATGTGAACCACCTCCGTGCCTGTGAGGGGAACCTGTGTCGTTCCACACGCTTCCCCATCATTCCCACGCGTCATGTTCTCGTCCTCACACGTCGTCGCTTTTAAAGATTCACCGTCCTCGGAGAGGCTGAAACAATAAAAACAACAACAAAAACTAAACAAAAGCAAAAACCAGAACCGGTAAAACAAGAAATGGATGAAAAGGGGGAAACACGCCGCAATCATGGCAGCTAATATAGCAGAGTAACAGACAGGTGACATTCAGGTGTGGAGATGCAGGTGTTGGACTCAAGAGGTTCCACTCAAGGCAGACAATCAAAGGACGGGAGTAAAGAGGACATCAGAGGACATGAGAGGACATGAGAGGAAACCCTTGTGAATCTCCTCTCCTGCGCTAACTCTGTGTACCTCATAGGCATGGAGGCCCTTCCAGGTCCTTCTGTCCACCTCGTGGTCCCTGTGGCGCTGCCGGGTCTCCCTCGGGCCCCCAGGCGAGGGAGCTCCACCGCGCCGGGGGGGGCGCCTCTGGAGGGGGGGCTCCGCCTGCACGGAGGCCGCGGCACGGGGCCACAGCGATCCGGGCGGAGGGGCGGTAAGGTCACCGTGGGAGTGAGGGTCTTCTTCAGCGCGGACGGGAGGTCTTCACTGGTCTGGGTCTTCTCTGAAGGGGGGCCGGACATGATGCTGATGTCTCCTCTGCTGACGCTACTAAAATGAATGTAAGTGAACTTGAATGATCTGGTTTCCGACACCAGATGGAGGTGCACATGAAACGATACACACAAACGTTACACGGGATGAGCTGGATTATGGCTTCATGTCGGAATTCATTCATAAATTCTAATTCTAAATGACTACTATAGATGATTATACTTGTACAATCTATAATCTCTCTGTATGTGAAACTTTGTATTTATCACAAATGAGTAGATCTATTTATCTGATAGTAGATGATGCTGTGATTTGTCAACATTAACACAATAACACTGTAAACATGAGTCACAATAAGTCGGAACCAACATTAATAAACGTTAAAGAGTGAAGTAATAACTCATACATTCTTCTTTCATGTAACGTTACTTGAGCCACGTTTCTTCATTCAAAGTGGATAAAGTCAAGCTAACTAGCAAACCCGCTTTAGCTACGCTAGTTAGCTAGTCGGTCAGCTAACTTAACAGCTAGTTAGCTGTTAGCTAACGTTAAAGCCATAAAAACGAACCACGTGACCAGTCTGACACTTTCTTCTTCTATTCAGGTTCATGAAGTTGTAAAAGTATTTTAAACCCGCTAAACAGAAGGAATATAAAAACTAACTGACTTTCTCACCTGGTTGCTGACGGGAACGAGTTGTCTCGTAACCATGACGACGGGTCGCGCGGCAACGCGGAAGTAACTGGCCGAGGTGACCTATTAACCTATAGAATGATTCATTAGGTATTAATATTAGTTCCCTGGTGGTTTCGCGGCAGAGACGAATATGTCGCCAATGACGCATCGTAAATAAACCTGCACTCTCCGCTGAAGAGGTTTAAACCCGTATGAAAGAACGTCCCAGCAAGAAGTCCACAATCACCGGGTCCACGAGGTCCACAGTCGGTGCCTCGGCCCCATCGGGGGGTCTTCATCACCTACAACAGTGGTTCCTTCTCCCACCTGAAGCAGAAGCAACCTCTGGTGATGCAGATCAAATCATCAGTGTTTTTATTGTCAACGTGTTCTCTGATTCATTTAGTGAGTGAAACACAAAACAGACTCGTTCCACCAAGATCCCGACGCATTGTCCATCACGGGTAGTTCAAGATCACGGTTTCGGTTCGCAGACTAATGCAAACTTTGATTTAACATATTAATGAAAGGCTTGTTGGGCAGCAACGTAAAGAGGAGAGAATGTTTAAGCAAAGTGAAAACGAACCTGTTAGGAGTCAAACATCCATCTGCTGTATTAAAACACTGACTAATTAGAAGCGCGTCACACAGCAGGACGTCGCTCCCCAAATGAGTCCTCCTGTGTTATTCTGTGAAGAAGCGTGCACGTAAACATGACTTAACACAAGTGTAGCCTGAATTTAGAAGGAGAGGAAACTAAGCTGAACCAATAACACGCGGCGTGGACATTTTATTTGTACAGCGCATTTTAACACAGTGGCAGAAACACGCGCTGCCCACCAGGGGGAGCCAGAGGCGCACGGACAGGCAGCTCAAGGATCTGCACCCTCGACCCAAAGGCCCCTTGAGGCGTTAGACCCTGAACCCTGACAATAAGAACATCTCAACCATAAGGACACAAACTCAGAAGAACAAGAAACAAGAAAGTGCAGTTTAATCAAATAAGCCGATGTACAACTTGCTGTAGATAAGAACCATTATAAGTCCAATGTAAGTGCTGCAGTTAGTTAGTGTGTTAGTGGAGGTGGAGTCTGAAGAGGTGTGTCTTTAGTCTGAAGATGTGAAGGCTCTCTGTGGTCCTGATGTCTTCAGAGACCTCCTTCCACCATTTAGGAGCAGGACAGCAGAGATCTAGTCGAGTGTTTGCTCTCAGTGAGGAGGAACAAGCAGTATTTGTTGTACCGGACTTGGTTTCCCCCCCTTTGAGACCAAGACCAGGGAGCCCCCTCCGGGACCAGGACTCACTTCATGGGCTTCAGGAGGGCTTCTCCTCACCGCGACACCACAAGCTTCATCTGCGTTCCTCAGAACTTGAAAAACAGAACTGAGGCCGTTTCCAAGGCAACAGAAGGCACACAGACACACACACAGACGCACACACAGACACACACACAGGCAAAATCCCTGCTGTGACTTCGCACATCGCACAAGTACACACAACAAACACACAAAAAACACATGTGGGTCACCACCAGGATGTAACACTTCAATCAGTCTGTGGACACACACACACACACACACATCCCCTGGGTCCTAAGGCCCTCCACGTAGTGCTTCTCATAAACATCAATGTACCAAATGTACTAATAAATCCCCGGTGGTTCGTTGGTTGATTACTAATCGACCTCCTCCTCCTGGAACCAATAAACTGTGACGTGTTCCCTCAATCTGAGGAGCCGTTCAAATGTTGATCAATAATGAATTAAAATGAAAGATCAATCATGTTTTAGTTTTATCTCACGTTGTGGCTCAAGGTCGTCTGCGTTCATCATTTAACTGCATTGTGACATTTTGAGCAAAAGATTCAATTATTCATTACAGTTCAGTTCGGTTCACACATTTCTCTTTAGAGGTGGAGAAATTCCATCGAAACCTCTTTGGCTCATTCTCCCACTCTGTCTCTCTGAGTCCCAGTGGATATTTAAATAGTGTCCAACGTGTCCTCCTTGTGGACAGAAGACGTTCCCAGATGGTCTCTGATGGCTGTAAGAAGCTCTTGAGTGCTTCCGTCCTGCAGCAGCTTCAGTGTGACCTGATGAATATTTAACGCGCTGGAGGAGATCTGTAAAGAGCATCAGGTAAATAATGGATGAGCTGCAAGGCGGAGCCGCGTCTACCGAGGACAGAGGACCACGTGGACACGCCGCATGGTAGACCTGCCACCCAGCCTCTAACCCCGCCCTCTTTCATAGGACCTGAGAGAGAAGTGACATCACACAGCGTCCACGTACGAGTTTCATCATGTTCATGTCGCCGGATGCTTGAGCATCATTTCAAACAACCCAATAGAAATGAGTCATTTCACATTGTCCACGTTTACCCTGCGGCCCTTATTTACTGATGAAATACTGATGAGATTTGAAATATACTTTAAAACCTGAGAAATGTTTGTTCACTTAGAGACGCACTTATATACATACATATACACACATATCCATCTCTTTCTCTCCAACATTTAAACATCTCTTTGATTGCATCTTAATTAGTGTTCCTCTTTATTCTTTCTCCTTTATAAAGAGCTCCGATCGATGAACTTTGTCTCAAAATGTTTCTGGCGGAGGTTTGCATGGACGTTGTTGTTGTTGTTGTCGTCCTTCATCCTCTAGTAAATAAAACCCCTTGGAAGAGGATTCGTGTTTTTATGTTGAGCCAGTGAGAAAACTAGACTGAGAAATGACTGTTGATCACATCAGCGTTTATTATACAATCAGGTTAATACACACTGCAGGAGCCTTAAAGCCGGCGTCACCATGGAGACGTCTCCCCGTCCTCTAAAAACGACTTCTTCACAACGCTGTGTGCACATAAAAATACTACAAACCTTATTGAAAGATCAGTGCGGCTGGACAGAAATGAAGTTCTAAAAAAAAACAAAGTGTGTGTCCAGCACACACACACACACACACACACACACACACACACACACACACACACACACACACACACACACACACACACACACACACACACACACACACACACACACACACACACACACGTTTGTGTGGACGCACCACGCCAACGGACACACGGACCAGCGTGCGGCCGGCCTAGAGGCGGGGCCTCCCTGGGGGCGGGGCTTCCAGGCAGAGGCGGTGCTATGAACACTTCCACACACACACGGCGAGGCTCCCCCCGAAGAACATGTAGAGCAGGTTCTTGACCTCGTGCGTCACCTCGAAGCCGAAGCCCTCGCCGATCACCACGTGCCAGGAGCTGCCGAACTTCTTGTCCATGGACTCTTTGATCATCTTGGCTGCGCTCTGAGGGAGACGGACATCGTCACACAAACATCTGCGTCCCCTCCCTCGCAGGAGACATCTCACTCTTACCTCATTGTTGGTGGCAAACTTCTCACAGGCCGTCACACAGAGCTCCATCGTCTCCACCCTCATCTCCTCCGGCATGTCCGTGTGCTGAGGACAGACAGACGGTAAGGCTCCACCCCTCCTCTCATGAGGCCACGCCCACAACGCCCTACTCTGCAGATGTGGAGCCACTAAAACAAACAAAGAGCTTTTTTTAGGAAGCTCAGTAAGGAACCTTCCTGAAAACAGATCCAGCCTCGGATTCTCTAAACGCAGCGGTTTACTTTTCCTCCTCAACTCTCCTGACCCTATGAGGAGCATCTCAGCTACACCTGTTTACTCCATCTACAGGTGGTGTCTCCTACATGATGAGGAGCATCTCAGCTACACCTGTTTACTCCATCTACAGGTGGTGTCTCCTACATGATGAGGAGCATCTCAGCTACACCTGTTTACTCCATCTACAGGTGGTGTCTCCTACATGATGAGGAGCATCTCAGCTACACCTGTTTACTCCATCTACAGGCGGCCTCTCCTACATGATGAGGAGCATCTCAGCTACACCCGTTTACTCCATCTACAGGTGGTGTCTCCTACATGATGAGGAGCATCTCAGCTACACCCGTTTACTCCATCTACAGGCGGCGTCTTCTACATGATGAGGAGCATCTGACACATCTCATCTACACCCGTTTACTCCATCTACAGGTGGTGTCTCCTACATGATGAGGAGCATCTGACACATCTCAGCTACGCTCGTTTACTCCAGCTACAGGTGGTGTCTCCTACATGATGAGGAGCATCTGACACATCTCAACTACGCCTGTTTACTCCATCTACCAGGTGGTGTCTCCTACATGATGAGGAGCATATCAGCTACACCTGTTTACTCCATCTACAGGTGGTGTCTCCTACATGATGAGGAGCATCTGACACATATCAGCTACACCTGTTTACTCCATCTACCAGGTGGTGTCTCCTACATGATGAGGAGCATATCAGCTACACCTGTTTACTCCATCTACAGGTGGTGTCTCCTACATGATGAGGAGCATCTCAGCTACACCTGTTTACTCCATCTACAGGTGGTGTCTCCTACATGATGAGGAGCATCTGACACATATCAGCTACACCTGTTTACTCCATGTACAGGTGGTGTCTCCTACATGATGAGGAGCATCTGACACATCTCAGCTACACCCGTTTACTCCATCTACAGGTGGTGTCTCCTACATGATGAGGAGCATCTGACACATCTCAACTACGCCTGTTTACTCCATCTACCAGGTGGTGTCTCCTACATGATGAGGAGCATATCAGCTACACCCGTTTACTCCATCTACAGGTGGTGTCTCCTACATGATGAGGAGCATCTCAGCTACACCTGTTTACTCCATCTACAGGTGGCGTCTCCTACCCGGATGAGAGGAAAGCTGTTCAGCCTCTTGTAGTCGGCTCTCTTTCTACCTCGCCGTCCCGCCAATCCGACTCCTGCAAGGAAAAGGCTGCGTTACTTCCCGCTGAGCGCCGAGGCCTAACGTCGGACAGGTCGGGTCGCAGAGGCAGCAGACGGCTCTGTGTTCCCGTTAACCATGACCCCGGCTAAAGCTAGCTAGCGTTAGCTGCACGTTAGCCACGACTAGTTAGCAAGCAGCAGCACGCCACTGGTCGTAGTTTCAACCAGAGCATTTGCGTCCTGCTTTTAGCTTCTAACGGCAGATAGCGTTTTAAAATTCTTTACTAGTTAGTTAGTTAGCGTAGCTTGTTTAGTTGTAAACAGCTGACGCTGCATGTTGCTCTCTTTACTTACTAGCTAGCTAACGAGCTTAGCTGGTTTGATAGCAACCAGCTGACGCTACCGGAAGCTGTTTTCTACTCTGAAATAAAAGGGCTTTCTGTGCGCTACATGTCAGGAGTTAAAGTGATGTTGACGGTGAACAGATGCAGGATGACGTACGTGTGGAAGCACAGGGAGAAGTGGGCTACTTACGAGGCGTTTCTCCTCCCAAACCTCTGCTGTTTTGCTCCAGTTCGGTTGTTAAGGATACATTTTAAACAACGGATGTCCATTCGGGGGAAGCCCCGCCCACTACAGCGTGGCGTCTCTACTATTGGTTCAGAATCTGTCAATCAACCAGCGGGAAGCTTTATTTCTTATAACTTGGTGATGAATATGTTCTATATATTTTTGAATTTACTCTTTTTTTAATTTGCACTCTTTGCCACTTGGCGTTGCAGCTTCAGCACAGCAGCAGTTTCCTTCTGGATGATCTTAAATACTGATTCTAAAATATTCTAAATATTTGTCTAATAACATTTAAGTGGAAACACGTAATGAATGTGCCTAAAGTAAATGTATGTAGATTCTGTCCACCACTTCTGTCTTTATATATTCGTTCTAATCACCCATCTTACTGAGTCTGACCCACATTCAGCTGCTAACATCTGGATGGTGGGTTTGACCCAGAAATGTAGTTGTGCAATACACACACACACGCACACACATATGCACACACTCTCTCTCTCTCTCTCACTCACACACACACATGTTTAGCATATTCACATAGTTAGCATCATTAGCACTAAAGATCTCTCCATAGAGAGAAAGTGTTCATCATTTGCATCAATAGTAACATTAGCATAATTAGCATCGTACCGAATGTGAAAAGCCAAGAGGGCTGCTGTTAGAACTTCTGGTAAGATAGAAGACAGGTTGACAGACAGGTGTACAGGTAGACAGGTGGACGGACAGGTGGACAGACGGGTGTACAGGTAGACAGGTGGACGGACAGGTTGACAGACGGGTGTACAGGTAGACAGGTGGACGGACAGGTTGACAGACGAGTGTACAGGTAGACGTATTTGCTCTAATTTAACGTTAATCTGTTTGTGTTCCTATCTTCTCTTGGATTA